AATATGTGAAACGACTCTGTAGACACCAAGATCAGTGGAGAAGGAGGGAGAGGAGGTGCTCCAGGTGCTGGAGCTGAGATTCCCCTTCAGTCTGTGGTACAGACCATGGTGAAGCAGGCTGTCCCCCTGCAGCCTATTGAGGTCCACAAGGATGCAGAGATCCACCTGCAGCCTGTGGAGGAGACCCATGCCAGAGCAGGTGGATGCCTGAAAGAGGGTTGTGACCCTGTGGGAAGCCTGTGCTAGAGAAGGCTCCTGGCAGCACCTGTGGCCTCATGGAGAGGGAATCCCACGCTGGAGCAGGTTTGCTGGCAGGACTTGTGACCCCATGGAGGATCCATGCTGGAGCAACCTATTCCTTAAGGACTGCACCCCATGGAAAGGACCCATGCTGGAGCAGTTTGTGAAGGACTGCAGCCCATGGGAAGGACTCATTTCAGAGTTTGTGGAGGACTGTCTCCTGTGGGAGGGACCCCATGCAGGAGCTCGGGAAGGACTAGTCTCCCCGAGGAGGAAGCAGTGGCAGAAACAATGTTTGATGAACTGACCATAACTCCCATTCCCATCTCCCTGCGCTGCTGCATAGAGGAGGAGGTAGAGAACTGAGAATAAAGTTAAGCCCAGGAAGGAGGGAGGGGGTGGGGGAAAGGTGTTTTTTAGGATTTGTTTTACTTCTCATTATCCTGCTCTGGTTTTGATTTTTAATACATTCAACTAATTTTCCCAATTGGAGTCTGTTTTGCCTGTGACGGTAATGGGTGAGTAATCTCTTCTGGTCCTTAACTCATGAGCTTTTTGTTATATTTTCTCTCCCCTGTCCATTTGAGGAAGAGAGCGACAGAGCAGTTTTGGTGGGTACCTGGCATCCAGCCAGGGTCAAACCACCATAGATGCACAATCACCAACCATATGAAGTTCAACAAAGGAGAGTGCCATATTCTGCACCTGGGATGGGGCAACCCTGGGTGTACGTGCAGACTGGGGAATGAGATGCTGGAAAGCAGTGTCACAGAAAGGGACCTAGAGGTCCTGGTTGATGGCAGGTTGAATATGACTCAACAGGGCCAACTGTGTCCAGGGGTGCATCAGGCAAAGCATTGCCAACTGGTCAAGGGAGAGGATTGTCCTGTTCTACTCTGCACTGGTGTGGCCTCACCTTGAATACTGTATGTAGTTTTGGTCACCGCAATATAAGAAAGATATTAAGCTATTAGAGAGTGTCCAAAGGAGGACAAAGATGGTGAAAGGCCTTGAGGGGAAGCTGTATGAGGAGTGGCTGAAGTCACTTGGTCTGTTCAACCTAGAGAAGAGGACACTGAGGGGAGACATCATCGCAGTCTACAACTTCCTCATGAGGGGAAGAGGAGGAGCAGGCACTGATCTCCTCTCTGGTGACCAATGACAGGACCTGAGGGAATGGTCTGAAGTTGTGTCAGGGGAGGTTTAGGTTAGATATTAGAAAGAGATTCTTCACCCAGAGGGTGGTTGGGCACTGGAACAGGCTCCCCAGGGAAGTGATCACAGCACCAAGCCTGACAGAGTTCAAGAAGCGTTTGAACAATGCTCTTGGGCACACGGTGTGACTATTGGGGATGGTCCTGTATAAGGCCAGGAGTTGGACTCAATGATCCCTGTGGGTCCCTTCCAACTCAGCATATTCTGTGATTCTGTGATATTATTGCTGTTGAAGCACTGACAATTTAATGAGCCAATCACAAATATGATCTCTGGAATCTGAGAGGAAGATGAGCAAGTACATCAAAATAGCATCAGGGAAGAAGTAACGGAGCCTTTGTGGTCTCTTACATCTGATAACCAGACAAAAGCTGATACCTTTTGATCAAGATGGAAGCAGGCTTATTCATCCCTTTCTCAGAAGTCACCTTACTGAGGACAATAAAGATGACAATAGCGTCTATTTTAGAACTGTGATTGGAGACATAATGATAACTAAGCATTGTTGTATCCTTACTTAGGTTTTCTCTATTTTAATTGCAAAATGAGTAACATTGTGGAACTTCTCTGTGCTATGCAGTACAGGTTTTAAAAACCCTTGTGCCAACATTGAAATATGGATTCAATGTCAAAAAATACAGTTGCATATTTTGAAGACCCACAAACTTACCAGGAAATAAATGCATCGATTTAGGAGGTAATATGGTCCTGTATTCTTGTATATTTAATAACAGTTTTAACATTTTATTCCAAAGAAAAAAGATATAGGGTGATTAGCTCAAAGAAAAAGCTTAGGAAAGCTTTTTTTTCATCACTTGTCACTTGGGAGATTACTAGTTGAGGGAAAATGGACTCATAGTCCGAGTTTATAAGCAGCTTTCCCCATTCTTGTCACCTAATTAGATTTTCCTGGGCTATTTGACCCTGGCCAGATACCAGGTACCCACTAAAGCTGATCTTTCACTGTCCCTCTGCAACTGGACAGAGGAGAGAGGAAAAAAACAAACAGCTAAGGATTCATGAGTAGAGGTAAGAGCTGGGAGAGGTCACTTACTGATTACCTTCATGGGCAAAACATACTCAAAGTGGGGATAGTACTTAAATTTATTACTAACAGGGTAAGAGCCAAAGAGTGAGAAATAAAACAGACTTAAAAACATGTTCCCCTCCCCCTCCTTCCATGTTCTCCCCCCCCCCCCCCGCGGTGCAGGGGGATGGGGAATGGGGGTTATGGTCAGTTGTTGTTTCTGCTGCTGCTCAGAGAGAGGAGTCTTTCCCCTGCTCCCGTGGGGTCCCTCCCATGGGAGACAGTCCTTGATGGACATCTCTGGCGTGAGTCCATCCCTCAGGCAGCAGTTCTTCCCAAACTGCTTTCCCGTGGGTCACTTCTCCATGGGGTGCAGTCCTTCACGAATGAGCT